TCTAACTGAAATTCTGTTGCTTTAAAATAAATAAATAATGAAGTCTACTGCTCTTGTATCTGTCTCTTCCAGCCTTCTCCTGGTAATAAAGAGTACTATAAATGATAGCTGAATCTGGTAATTAGACAAGACTTCCCTTTTCTGTCCTGTTTTTTTTGTTTGTTTGTTGTTTTTTTTTTTGCTGTAATGCAGTTTGTCTGTTTACTGGCTTGAGGTCCCTTCCCCCTGTGAGACTTATCTTTTTAATGGCAGTCATTTTTAACATGCACAATTTTTCTGTAAGCATGACATTCACTATCTCTGTAATAACAATCATTTGGCTTATGATTTAAACCATTACAGCACTGTACCATGCTGTGAGACTCAAATGCTGGCTTCACTTTTACATTGTTTACTTTCCTATCAGCATGTTGACAGTTCATAACTCTTGGCTACTTCCAGATTGACTGCAATTTTTGAAAAGCTTTAAAGGAAATAAAGAACTGCATCAGACAATTGTTTTTTTGGATTACTTGCCTAAGCATGCTGTAAACTTGGTATCAAGATGCTGAGCTAGATAGTCCCTTTAACGTGGCATGAATTTGATAGTAAAGTGTGAAACAGGTACAGCGTCATTTTTTAAAACATATCTGAAGTGTAATAGACAAAGATCAATGGAAACCTTTTAACAACATAAAGGCAAGATGGGATACATTAAGTACTAAACTAATATACCAACTGTTGCCTGGCCAATTTTTTTCCCTGTTCTACCTCTCCCCTCTCCCTCATTTGAGGTAGACTTTACTTGAACATTTAGTCATGGTGATCTGTGAGGGTGAAGAAAACTCCTATTTTAAAGGAGATGGCTTTGTTTGAATTAGTGGAATATATTTTGCTTATTTAAAGGCTCTACAGAGTTCTTTTCTCCCTGCAATCATTTTACATGTTTGTCCTGCTCTTCAGCTTTCCAACTGAATCTCTGTAGCCAGGAAAAGGGAGATCATTGCTAGGAAAACTCATCTGAGGGCAAACAAATTCTGAAAACTTAACATAAGGGACTCTTCAATATGAACAAATGACTGGGGAGTTGTTTTTAAAGTGGTTTACAACTGTGATAATTTGAGTGGAGTATTTTTACAGCTGTTTCTCAAGTCATATCTCTGCCATGAGATTCTGAGACACCTTTTTAGTCCTGTCTTATTTCAAAGACCTAAAGAATTTTTTTACACAGAAAGGAATTATTTTTAAAGATATCCAACATGAGGTGTACATACATTTAATTTGGGCAATGTTTTATGAGACATACAGTTTCTGGTCTGTACATTTTAACCTTAATGAGCCTTCCCTTTAAAATACACAGGAATATTCTATATATGTGTTTTCTATACATGTGAGTGTAAATGTTGCTATAGATCAAAAATATGTATTAAACTCCAAAATTTTTGTTGTACTCATTTTACTATGCTCTTTTATTTCTTTTCATAATTAGAGTTTGTTTCTTTTGTAAAAACTGTTTTAGTTATTAAAATGGAGAACAGAATGAGGGAGAAGTTTGTGTCTTAAAGATGATTGAAGCTGCCTGTCATAGGCAGTGCAGAGTCAGAATTTGGTTTATGCAAAGATAAATTTGTTTAAGAAAATCTCATTTTCTGGGCTTTAATACTAATGATCTGGAGAGCTTATTCTTTCAGATACTACTAATGAGTTAGGAGTATGTTACATTATATAGATGTACGTGTTACCAAGTTGCAAAATTATACCACAAGTTTGCTTTGCTCATATTTAAGCTTCAGGAATTGTGTGATTATTGTGTTTTAAAGAAAACATTTGCAGTGTGTTTAGTTGTAGATAAAAAGCTTGAAACTGTGGTTTTGAGCATTCATTTTAAAGACTTGACATGTAGAGAAGTTTGAAATATTTCAAAATGGCTTTTAATAAATCTTATGTCAGGGGAACTGACTGAAAAGTTCTGAGTGACTGGAGTTGTAGTCTAGTTTTTGCATATGGCAAGCAGGGTTTATAATGAGCAGGCACGTACCTGTATCTTGTCAGGATGGGATTTCAGGGGCACTGTGGGTGGATTTCATTTGAGTCAACTTTCTTTTACACGACCTCCTGTGAACCTTGGGGGCACCATGCTCACTCTCAGTAGCTGCAGATGAAAATGTTTGTTTTTCCCCAATTTCTTATCTTCCTTATAAGTGTTTAATAAATTTGTACAATCTAAATTTATTTTAAAGAATATTTTGTACAATTTTACAATCGCGATCCTGCTAGCGCAGAAATATTTCTAAACACCACTTCCCATTTGTCTTGTATTTTAGCATCTGAATTCACATTCTTGTAAAAGTAAGTGGGTAGGAGGAGGGTAGAGGAGAAATTATACTTGAAGCATTCTTCTTCCACTTGAGGTTTGCCTTTGCTTTCCATCTCAAAATTAAAATTGATGGACAGAGAATAATTCGTGTTAATGCAGCTGTTATTCAGTTTGAAAGATATCTAACGGGAAGAGAGTGCTCTTAGCTGGGGAACAAAGGGTGACAAATGTCATTCTGCACATCAAGTTTTTCCAACACTGCCCCTGAAGCAGAGGGTACATCAGCTTATAAAAGAAGAGAAAAAAAAAGAAAGAAAGAAAGAAAGAAAGAAAAAGAGCATTTGAACGAGTACAGTGTCAATATGCTAGAACAGTCTCCTAAACCTCTTGTCATCTGTGATAAGGACATCAATAATAGTCATTGTCAACCTTCATTAAGCTCAGATCATCCATTTTTATGTCCCTCAGGATGTTTTTCATTGATATTTTCCCTGGAAAAGAGAAAAGGCCCTACATCAACTAGTGTATAAAACTTGATTTCTTTCCTCAGGGCTCTTAGTAGAGGAGAAACAAATTATTTTAATTACTCTTTTTCTGTTTTGATTTTTTTTTATTATTATTTCTTTTTTTCAGTTGGTTTTTCTTCTGAGTTCCTCTCGGGTGCTTAACCTGTTTCTTCTTCTGAAGAAAATGAAGTTATTTCTAAACTCATTTAGTGTTGCTCTCTCTTCAGTGATCTCAGCAGTCTTTCCAAAGTGAGAAAATACACACCATGTCAGAGGAGGAAGGCTCACACACTCAACATTGCTACAACAGACAAGGAATTGTACATATAGTACCTAAAGTATTAGGAGCCCATGACTTGAATTGTTGCTTCTTTTGGAATTATTTTCTATACAACGAACTATTTCCTCAGATCTTGTTATAGATTCTGCCTAGAAAAAGAGAAATATTCTCACAGAAAAAAAAAAAAAAAGAAAACTTACCAAAAAAATACATGGAAATCCCCAAAATACTTGGAAATTAAGCAGACTTTCCTGAGTCCGCAAAGAATTGAAACCAGATATTAGGTCCAAAGACACCCCTCATATTTTATGTTCATAGATATATTCTTAAAATTTAAAATTCAGAATATCAAACCTTTCTCTTCCAGACCTCTGTGAATTTAATTGCACAAATTGGCTTGTAAACTATTACTTAAATCTTATGTAACTTTTATTATAGGTAGGTGGTGTTACACTGACAATATTGTCTCTATTTACCCAAAACTTGAGCACATTTAGTAAAAAATTACAGCACAAAATAAAAATAGGTCTATTACAAAATCCCTGGAATTGGATGTCATTTTCTACTTTCAATTAGATCTACCAAAAAAAAAATATTCTTTTTTTTTTCACTATAACTTTTCCAGCTAAGTTGAATTGCATGTTCAGGTTCAGTTAACAATGTAACTGATGGTAAAGCTTGTTAAAGAACTGAATGTGCTTCCAGCCTGGTTATAAATAAGTCTATTCACAAATTCTCATAAATCTGAAATGAGTTTCCAACAAACCTAGAGTGACCAATTTCGTACGTGAATAGCTGTAAAGTCTGTGTAATCTTCATTGTTGTTGGGAGATATCTGACATCCTGTAATCATATTTTTGTGTGCCAGGCAAAGAATTTGGTGAGTAGAAAGACAGCTCTGCTAAATATAGGACTTAGGGTGCATGAAACAGTCTTTCTTAAAAATATGCATTGGTGTAGTTTCATCTACTAGTTAATTTATTTGCTTGTTTGTGAGGTTTTTTAGGGTTTGTGGTTTTTTAATTAATTTTGATCCACCAATCCCACTCAAAGTTTCATTAGTGCAGTGTTTGCAGAGCTCGGGAAATCTCTTTCTCCAGTGTCACTTTTAAGAGACTCTTCAGGTGGTGAATGTACTCATCATCCTTCCTTTGTCAGTGTTGTGGGACTTCATTACTGTGAGCAAGCACTTAAAAGGGCAGAGCCTGCTGTGTGAGAGACCTGTGCAGCTTATGAGAGAAGGTACCCTATCGTGTCATTATGAGTTGTCAATGCAATTGTACCTCAGGCCATTCCCACAACATATCTAATTCTGTTCCCCTCTGACCCCTTTCATGGCAGAAAATGGTAGAATTGTGCAGTTGTGTCTTTGAAAAGTTGTGTAGAGCCTGGCACAATAGATTCCTTATAATATCATACAGCATATTGAACCAGACTGTAGAGATTTTGAAAGAGTTGAAATTACACTGATCATCATGTGGGGCAGTTAAGTCTTATCTTCAGTCTTAAAAATAAAACATGGATATAATTTTTTTTTTCATTGAAAGCCACACTATAAAGTGCTGCATGAAAGGATCATGAAAATGATGGCCTGAAAATACACCATGTTTTTTAAAACAGCTCGAATCCAAGGATTCTGTGTGAGCCTTTCAACACCAGGGTACTTTTTCTGACCCAAACCCTACACAGGGACTGCGCTCTGCGAAACAACTTAAATGTCTCTGGTATCAAAGTTGTGTAACACTCTAAGAATTTCATGTGTTTGAGGAGGTTGGAAAAACAATACTGTTCTCTAATATGGCTTATAATTAAGAGAAACCTGATGTTTTCTCTTAGAGTGGACTGGAATTGGTGTATGTGGCACAGCCCTTACTCATCCCCAGCATGGACCCACAATCTACACCAGTTATCTGAACCATGTGTTGGTGGGAATGCAGTTACTGTGACATCTGGTCACATCCTCCAGCTGTTGCAGAGAAGGGTTGGAGTCAAAGGTGTCTGAGTGGAGGGAGGAGCACTGTGGGATCCTGCTGGGTGTAAGTTTACGGATGACAGGCAAGCATGTGAATCCTGAATTTATATACAGGTAAGCACTTTTCTTCCTCACCTCACTTTTATACTTGGCTAAAACCATATTTAGTGCCTGATTTTCTTCACATTATATAGTTGTGAGAACATGTAGTCTAGAAAATCTTGACTCGATTTACTCCTTTTTCCTCTGCCTACCCCAATTTAAAGCTGTAGTTCCTGGGAGAAGGCACAGGGATCTGAAAGAAAAATTATGTTTGCCTCTTGGCTTTCTGTTGTAAGCATAATATTCAGAGTGGTTTTGCCATATTAATGTGCAGCTCATAATTGTTAATATTGCCAGTGATTTACTGATGAGCCTCTTAACTTTAAGCAATGCTGTGACTCAATCCCTTTCCCTGTAGCATTAAGAACTAATTTGACAGTTGCTACAGGCAAAGCTGCAAGATGACTCAGATTGTCAAATGTCCTTTGTCCTCACAAATGCAAAATCCTCCAGCCAAGTTTCAAATGCAATTCCATTTTATTCTAATTTATTGTTCATTTCTCCTCTTGACACAGCAGCTCCCTAACAAGTCCGTACATCATTACTTAAATGCTTGCTCACAAAGGACTGTTGTCAATCACTGGCACAGAACATCAAGCAGAAAGAATGTCTGATCAAACACATTTTGAAAGCTCTGCCACAACAATAGGGAAAAGCTAAATCGAACTGGGGGAAGGGAAGGGCTAAACAGGACTTATTTGTATCAAGCAGATGAGATTATTTTAAATAGGTCTAAGAAGCAGAAAATCAAGTGGAATTAATTCATTTCTAGATACTGCTTAGAATGCATATTTTTTAAAGCATTGATTATAATGCAAGTGGTGAAAATACTAAAATACTAATACCAATGAGCACAGCAAAAATGAACCATCAGACCATTCAGACCTTCCTGAGGCTGCAAAGAACCTTGGACTCAGTCTGAAAATTACTAAAAATAAAATGAGGAATGGTTGCTCTGAGGGTGAATCACTCCTGGGTCATCTATATTAACAGTGATAAGAGTATTTTAAATAATCATGTCTTTTTCATGCATCTTCTTGACTCATAATCTTGATTTTATTTATTTTTAAATGCCCACAAGAACAGAACATCTGTGGTTCAGTTTTACAAACAATATGTTTGCTTTTAATTTATTCTAGAATATAATTGTTTTTTACATAATGTATCAGACTCCATCCGTTCAAGAGGTAAATGGCACAATGGAATTGATCAATTTTAAATCCAAAATACTAAAATAGATTTTTTCCTTTTGTGTACCTCAATGAAAGTAATTAGATTTTTTTTTTCCTAATCTGAGAGGAATTTAATGACAGCATATAGCTTTGAACTGATCCCTGCACTGCAGCTGCATACAAATCAATAACACACTTCACTTACAAGAGTTTATGTCCTTGTCAGATCAAAATTCTGGTCACTCAGGGCTGTCACACTGAAGGTGAGCTTTGCACATCTCCCTGGATTTCTTCATCACTCCTGGTGGGGCAGGGAATGGGAGTAGGAGTAAAATAGAAATGGTTGAACGATTCTCTGCCAACCCTTCCTCATCCCAAACCTTAAAAATAACAAAGTCTTTCTCAGAAATGGGAAAATGTTTCACTCCCTGAGGAATTTCTGGAATGATGTTCCTCTGAGGGTGTCTCAGTGGGTTGGGCAGCAAGAACAGCTGACTGGGTCTCAGTTGTACTGGACGGGTTTTTTCTCTGGGCACTGAGGCAGGAGACCAAGAGGAAAAACAATATATGATGATTTAATGTAGCAACAGCTCACATGCATAAAAAGACAATGAAATATGTATGGAGTTATTTTATCACTAACTTTTACTTACCTCACTCTGAAATTACCTTATAAATTGCTTTAATGTAATTCCCTATGTTGGGGATTTTTAAGTAAACCAAAAAACCCCCACGGCCTCCATTCTCTGAAAATATAATATTCTTATGTTCCAACATTTGGCTTTATACACAGATTCTTAAGAATATTAATTAATAATAGTAATAATAATAATAATAATCCTATACTGAGGTGAAGAGACTTCTGAAGGTGAATTTTTACTGAGCATGAGAAAAACTGGGACCTCAAGTCCTGGATTCAGGGTCTGGATTACACTGCTGCAACTGCAGCCTGAGCTAAGGCTATAGCATGGCTACTCATGGAGTAAATTACAACATAAATATGCCATAACCTTTTTAAAAGATTCTATAGAACCTTTGGGATAGCTCCATCTAAAATCTGGCAGCATAGTTAACAGCAAAGACATTTGTAGTTTTAGTGGCATTGGAATTCATCCATGATAGAGCATAGAATAATGAAAGATAATATGTGTATTGGGAAGGGTAATGGAGAAATAAGCTACAGTTATGAATGGGACAAAGTCAAACTACTGAATCCACTCAGTGGAAAGGAAAAGCTACCACAGCATCCTCTCTTTATGATTTTATTAAGCACATTCTGTCTTTTGTTTTCTCACACTATGAAATTATTAAATTGTTATTCAAAGATACCACCGAAGAAACAAATGTTATCCATGATCAATGGCATATCATTGGTAAACTTGCAGCACAATTGTGTCCTTATAGCATCAATTACATTTTTGAACAACCTAATCTCACCATCTCAAAGCTGGAACACATTTCATTATCTAAAATTTTTAACAGGTAAACTAAAAACTTCTAGGAAAATAAAATTAATGGAAGTGTATAATCTGTTCAACATTAACTTCAGATTTAAACTTAGAGAAAAAATATTACTATCAGTAGGTTTTCTCTTGTTGAATGTTGGTTATCTTAGTATATCCTTGGAATACTGTAGTTCCAGTAGTATCAGCATTAAAAACTTCTAAATAAGTTGCATAACTTGACCTATGCTTGTACTCAACTCAGAGAATATGTTGATTTAGTAGTTGAGGTTGTTGGTAGTTCAGGTTCTGTTTTGAAGTGCCTTTTTTCCCCATGTAGAATTGATGGCTCTGAACTGAGTCCTGACTTCATTTCAGAGATCAGAAGCAGGAGGAACAATAACAAGTACCATGTGGATTGGATGGAAAATGTGATGTATATTTACAGTGGACAAAACTGAGCAGCACCAGCTGGAAAGGGAGTAAAAGAAAGTGCCAGTGTTAGGTGAAGTGTTGGTTTGATTTATATTGGATGGGAAAATTTTACTGAAAAATTAAGTAAGAATCAGTAGAGTTTTTAAACAGCACAGATTGCTTTTGAGTTAACAAACCATAAAACTGATTCAGTGCTACAAAAATGGATAACCACTGCTTTATTCTTTTCTCAGTTTTCTTTTGGTGATTGCATGAATCACTACTGTGTCATAAACTAAGGTCTTAAAAGTGAGCTCGAGACAATAAAAAGAAAAGCCTTAAAATATTTTCCTGGGATTAAAAGACTGTTTGATTTACTTTTAGCTCATCTAAACTTGGTTGCATTGACAAGGTCAATATTTAAGTCATTTTTTCATACTATTATAATAACTGACTGGGGAGAAGATGGCAATTTCTTTCATTTCACCTTGAGTAGAGAATGGATAGAGATGTAAAGTTAAGCTTTTTGTAAAGTGATCCTCTCTAAACAGCCCTAGTTTCCTTCCAGGCTGGGAAAATCCACGCAAAGGAACAACTAGTGATTTGTAACACCACCGAACACATAATTTTTACTGGAATATTTACTTTCTACCCTTTTTTTTTTAATGGGAACCAGAGAGTCCATAAAACTCTTTGTAAGCAAACAAGCTGTTAAATTATGTTTAAAAAAAGCGTCTGGACTAGATAAAGCTCTTGAATGGTCTTACAAATTATGTATTCATTAACTTCAGAATGACTAGAAAGTATCAAAAATGCTTATGTGCAGGAAAAAGCCTTTTACAAGAAGTCCAGCCCTTCTTGATAGTAGTAGCTTGCAGCAATAAATACATATTTGTACAGGAAATGTTGTAACAGCTTAAATATAGAAAAATTTCCAGTATCATTGTTATTATCTGAGCTGAAATTCCCCCCGTTTATCATTCCTAACCCCTTTGTTATTCTTCCTTCTATAGTATGGAAACTAAAAATTGTTTAATTCAGGAGCCTGAGGGCTGCTCTGTGTCACCCAGAAACAGAGTCCCATCAGGAGCTAAGCCCCTCCAATAATTTAAAAATAAAAGACCTGGCAAAAGGGTTAACTCTGTTAAGAAATAAGACTCTCAGAAAATGGTCAGACTAAAATGTAGCTGTTACCATCAAACACTACACGTGTTGTTTGTAGAATAAATAGGCTTGCTTAGTACATATTTCTTACCTCTTAGAAAACAAGAAGAGAAAACAGCAATTCTGTTAAAACCCAACTCTTCCCCTGTCTTCTTTCCAAGTGCTCTGAAAAAACAAACGAACAAACAAAACAAAACAAAAGCCAACAAAAAACCATTCCCTAAACTGATTGACTTTCATCAAGAGCTCTTTCAATGTCACAGAAATAGATTTCATTGCTTTTGACAGCCTGGCTTGATGCTAAGCTTGTATCAAAACCCTACCAACAGGAAAAAGACTGCTGAGTTGAACATAATGGTCATTTTAGGGGGTTTTGCTGTGCCTGTCTCTGTGGTGGATGTGATTTCCTCTATTTTGACCCCAAGAAGCTTTTACAGCAGCTCATTTAAAGTTCATGTCTCCAAAAGGAAAATAGTGAAAATACAAAAAGCGAAATGATCAACTGCACTTTTATTTCGAGTAGCCCTCCCACTGTCCATGAGCTCTGCAGGGAGCAGGAGATGGGAAATCAGTGTTGCCTTTAAAACAGAGGAAATGTTTTTCTAACATAATATACATGAAGCACTCCAGGATTCCCACTCTCTGTAAACGACTCAAAGACAGTAGGTGCAGATTCTAACGATGTGGCCAGCTCTGCTAAATCTCTGCCCTCTTCAAGCTTCCCGTGCTCTTGTTGTCTTTTGCTGTGCACTTAGCATTATCTGGCCTCCTGAGGGTCTGTGAATAATGCCTCCATCAGCAACTTTCACGTCTTCTGAGAGTCTACATTTTTTGAAGCAGTTTGGTTCAAGAGTGTAATTGAAACTAAGCACTGAACAAGTATTTTTATACTGGCTACTCTGAAGGTCTGGTCCCAGACTGAGTGAGCCCTTACATGTTGCTGTATCATTTTATTTTCCTGCACAGTCATTGAAAAAAACCCACAGAAACCATCAAACAGCTCAGCTGAAGCCATGATCATTCCCTACTTCAGTGTCTTCCTCTTTGTTGTCCATCAGCAATATCTGGTCATGGTAACTTGGGGAAGGAAACATGCTGTTTCCTGCCATACCATTTCCTGATAAAGCTGAAAAAGGGCCACAGTGTGTTATTCTGTTTCTTCTTCCCCCATTCTGATCAATGGTAATTTCCCAGATACAGTCAATAAATCTGCTGCATATACGCAGCCTCTCTGCTTGCAGTTCACTTGGTGGTGACATCCCCTTAGTGTGTGATAGAGAGGTATCACAGAATATCCTGAGTAGGAAGGGACCCACAAGGATCATCAAAGTCCAGGAGTTCTCCATTGAAGTCCAACTCCATGGCCAAAAGGGAGCACAGGAAACACGATATCCAACATTTTACCTCCCGCCCTCCTTAAACAATCATGGTCTGGAAAGAAGAAAGAAACCAAAACTCTACGAAACTGTAGCAACATCTGAAAAGTTCATGATTTATTCACGTCAGCTGGGTAATTAGAGTTTGCTCTAATTTTTGCTGAGGAAGCACAACTAAGTTATACTTTTGTCCTTAGCTATGACTTTTTGAGAATGTGACTCAGGCACGGAAGGCATCTTGTGTTTAATATTCCAGTTTGGTGATGATACCTGGAAATCTGTTCCCTTAACACCTTTTGAGATTTTTTTTTTGTTGTTTTTAAACTCTATTTTCCCCCAGTTCATACAGATGTAAACTTATCAAGTGGAATATGGTTCAAATAGTGTAGAGAAATACAGTTAATTGTTTAAAAAACATTTTTTAAATGCTGTAATTTGTTACAAATAAGTTGAATTATAAACAGCAAAATTAAGCTTGATACTAATTTCTCTTGTGTTCCTCCCAGTTGGCAAAAATAGAAAATGGCTAGTCAGCTTTCCCATTGTTTACATAGTTTTGAGTTTTTAATTAACATAATCTGCTTATTGCAATGTAGCTGTTAATTGCAGCCAGTTGAAGGAGAGGGGTACAAATTGCTGTTTATGTAGTTGAAGAAGGAGCCAAATAATTAGGGAAACTGTTTCCCATATAGAAAATGACAATATTTTCTTTCTTTACACAGAAACATAAATAAATCTGTGACCAACTGTTTAGACACCATTTAAAAAGCACTGTAGCAAGACGAAGAACTTCAATACATTCAGATTGGTTCATTTCTCCATCAACTTGCCTGAACACATTTTTTCTTTTTAGTGAAAATGAAGTTTCTGTCAAAAAAGAACTCTGTGCTCAGTTTTGGGGGTTTAGGGGAGTGTCTGTAAAGTCTCACTGATCTGTCCCAAGGCTACTCTGCAGCAGAGCTCTGAAGGTGCAGCAACACCAACTCTGAAGTTTAAGTATCTGAGACTGTAGCTGAAGTTTCTCTGAGTTTTTTATAAGGATAACTGGAAGTGTCTGTGGGAGTTCCAAGACTGTGTTAGTGTCTTAATTATTTGCAATTAAAATGATGACTGTCTAGGCACTGAGTATTTCTATTTATTTTCCTCCAAACTGAAGTGTTTTAGCAAGAAAAAATAATAAATCAGTTGTTTTGGCAAATATTCAGATGATAGGCCTGTCTCTGACCATGCTTTATTATTATGTATAACTCTGCAGAGCAATCTTAGGCAAAGAACCATTAATTTTTACTTTTTCTGCAAACCTAAGCAACAGATACAAACCTAATTACAGAACTGAGTTTTGTCCCAGCCATATAATCCACTGTGCAAGTTTTACTCTTCTTCACACTTCCATTGCAGCCAGATATGGTAAAGGCTATTAAGGATTCTAATCTCATAAAATAAAAAGGAACAAAAAGGGATGCTCTTAAGATGACTTGGGTCTCTTCAAACACAGCAAGCTTTACTTTCTGCTAGAATGAACAATGATTAAGAAGGTTTGGCTGTATTACAGTGATTAAGGAGGTTTGGCTGTATTATTAGAAATCTTTAACTGCAAAACGAGAAGCAGCCATGTATTTTGTAAAATGTAATCAAAATCATTTGCAGTAGCAAATTAAATATATTCATGAGTAAAAGTTCCAACTATTTTATCTGTTGACCTTTACCACACTCCGTAAAATTTTAGTATTGGTGCTACTGTATAACTTTAAAACCAACAGTGCTGGGATGTGTGGGCCAGATTCTGATCTCACTTAATCTTATATAGTTTTGAACTCTGGAAGCAACTCTTGATTGGCAATGCTGACAGCTAATTGGAGGCAAGCCTTATGGCCCAAAGACTGCCCTTATACCCACAATTATACTAATTACTGAAATGAATCACAAGGACAATGGTTATTGATCTACTTCAAATTACACACTCCATGTGCTTTTCCAGCCTTGGCACCTGAGTCAGGGAAATGGGTGATGAATTGATGGCAGGACTAAATGGCTCCTTGTAAGTAAAATTTGTACTTTCAATCTTCCAAATCATGGTTACCATGATAATTCATTTTATTTTTCTCTAAAATAATGTCAGATATGTTTATATTTCCCTAACAGGTAGAGTAGACAATATGTTTATTGTCCTAATAATGTATCGTCCTATCGGAACACACTGAGGTCTCATATTGGAGTCACAAGATTATTATTCTCTCCACTTGATTTCAGAAAAATAAAGAAATCCAAATTGGTAATATATTGAAGGAGTTAAAAGAATGACATAGATACAATGTTCCCAGCATAGAGCCTGAGGCTAACATCAAAATCCAGCCGAAGAAGGACCCTATATCTGGGATTGGTAAGTAGTACAGAATGTTTATTCATGTAGCTAAAATACATGTGCATGACATATTAATAAGACAGATTATATCCTTGAAATCATAAAACAGTTCTTTCTAACATCTGATGCATCCTTTCTTCAAACAATGTGCACAGAGTCAACAAATACAGTAATATAAAATAATATATTGTGTGCATCCATGAGCACCAGTTGCATGAAAGAGGCTCCATCTGTGTTTGGGCTGACAAAGAGAGTGTCTGCAAGGTTTGGTAAGAGCAAACAAATATGTGAGAGGGAAATCAATTAAAGGTTATTAAATACAAAGACATCTTTGTGTCTGGAAGTCTGACTTGCAAAGTGTTGGTGGCTCTGAGAATAAGTACTTCATGTTGGCCTGTTTATATTTCTGCTGGGAGGTCAGAACACCTGAAGGAGTAGTTGAAGCTGCCACACATGAAGAAGAGAATACAATTTTAATGTGTGGTGTCTATTTCTTCACTTGCACTAGGAATTTGTTGCAAATACTCTCCTACAAAAATCAAACAAAACCTACAAACAAACCAACCCCCCAAAAGAACTAATAAAAAAAAAAATCTTTGAGTTTAGAGTTCTGTTCTAAAACAAGGTAGTTAAATTTGTTTTCCCTATTTCTTGTGTTCTTCTAAAAATAAGTTTGAACACAAAGATAAGAATATTTAATCAGGACATAAATTTTGTACCCCTATTTGTTCTTTACTTCGAGCTCTGGGATGGAAGCAGTCTCAACTGATGCTAAGATCCTGTAGTTCTGTCTAATAAGCAAGCCAAAATCTGGACTTTTATATATTTTTAATATTAGATATTTCCTCAATGGACTTCCTACAGTTTATTATGCCAAGCTTGTTAGTAACATCATGCTGAAGCAAGCTCAACACTTCCTTCCTTTTCTGTGTTCACATAGAGCAGTGCCAGGAAAAGGCTGCAAGTGTGAGGTGTCACCTGGTTCTCTGTGTTTCAAACTTGACTGATGCCCTCACACAAGGGATGCAGATCCTTTCGGACTGGAACAGGGAGCTCTGAAGAAAAATTGTTCCTGCAGGCTCGGGTGTTTTTGATTGTGCCGTGTTGAGGTCAAGTGATTTCTACTTTCAGAAAACTTTGCTGCTGCTGTTGGCTCCACAGTGCTTAGCATGGTGCTGTTAATAAAGCAGCTGCCATCTGAGACAGAATACTGGAGTTTGGAATAAGATTTAACTCAGTCTGATGCTGCTGAAGAATGTCCTGATGAATTGTGTTCAGTAGTTCAGCAGAGGATAACAGATTTCAAAAAAAATCCTAAAATGACCACTAATGCTGCTTTTCAGGAGAAGTAGCTCTCCTATTTACAGGATATGAAGAGGTGATAAAGTGATTTTAGACAGAAAGCAAAACAACTCCTAAAACATCCTAATGACCTCAGAATACTACCTTGCCCCCCTTTTTCTTGTTCTTTATGATTCCAATCTCTTTTGAGTGAAAATGCTACAATGAAATATATTATCCTTTTTATTGAAAGGAGAGAGATAGAACACTTACCAAGCAATTTAAGAGATGCAAGTGAACCTAATCACTCCTGAAATCAAAAGAAGTAAAGAGAAAATTCTTTTTTTCTCTTCTTTTACCTGGTAATGAGTGTGAATACTTAGTTTTGGACTCCTTTCACCAGTCTATCTCAATAAATGAGCATAGGTAGGGAATAGATCTGCACATTGCTACACTACTCCCAGCTCAGTGCTGCCACTCCTTTATCCTCTGCTCCATTTCTCTGGTGCATCACCAGCTTTTTAAGTGGGTTTGCAACAGTGGTTATCAATTGGTTCAGTTCTCAGAATAATTCTTTCTGTAACTATGCTGATGAAAAAGTAAGAGTGAGGAGGAAAAAGAGCTTGTGTTTTATGGGAGTCAATATTCTTGATATACAGCAAGAATCCCTTCAATTTTGTTTCAGGATTTTTTTTCTGTCTGCATAAATGGGTCATTCAGCCTTTTGCACAACAAATTCTTGGGACCATGACTGTTCTTCTGCCCACAGGGTAATTAGTAGCTTAACTATCAACTGGTTAGAGATGGGGTAATTTAAGCAGGTCAAAACTGCTTGTAAATCAATATGATTGAATGCCTTATTTAAGTGAAGATGAGGAGAGAACAGAATTTTTGCTGAAGTCTGAACCAGGCATGGGCTTTGTTAGTCCTGTTAGTACTGGAACTCTCCTGGCTGGTACTTGCAAGCAGAAAATTTAAACAAAGACCTTGGAAAAGTACAAAGATGCAACATCTTCATCTGCTAGACCTTGTTCCTGAGGAAAGGTGTTTGTTTGAACTGGCTTTGTGCTGAGCCAGTGACAGCCACCAGCAGCACCAGAATGCAGGTGGTAAAAGGTGACAAGGCGGTGCATCAAGCAGTTCATGTTATTTTGCAAACTTCAGTGACCTTTGGAAACCAGTCCAAACCACAATACTGACAATTTAGAGCAGATTATTAAGCAGCACTTGTAAAAGAGACTATGAGACACCCTTTAAGTAGTTTGCTGGCAAGAAGGAGGTTACTGTATATGTGCAGAATACACTGTATTTGATTAATTTAAATTGCTAAGGAATCAGTATATGGAATTTTTCTTTTTCTTTTTTTTTTTTTTTTACATCTCAAATCAAGGGACCAATTGAGACTCTCTAATAAGATTTTCTCAAAAACTCAGAGGATAAAGGAAATGGTTGCTTGATACAGTGGCATCTTTTCAATTCAGATGGATTCTGATGATGAACAAGAACATCCAGAAGCACTTATTTTGTTTTATTTTCACTTTTAACATGTCTAGGTAATAAACAAGCTCTGTGAATAAATATACCTGATGAAACAGTGAAATAGTCTGTGTGCCACTAAGAATGTTCCTCCCCTTGCAGTACAGCAGCTGGAAAATTATGACACAACTGCAGTGACACAGTTCCCCCCCATGGAGCATTTTTGCAGCAAGACAAGTAAAAAGGTAAGAATAAGATAAAATGTTATTATAGGGCCATTGATCTTCTGTTGCCTAAAAGGAGTGAATATGGATGTCAGAGCTGTCAAAGTGTTGAACTATCCCAGCCTATGCAAAGCTCAGTCCAAAACAGCGAAAAACAGCCTTATCAGATCTTTTCCCAGCTTAAGGGGTAGAAGGGGAGCAGTTGTCCTTTAGAACCAATAGGACTATAAACACTGTCAGGTTCCTAAACAAAAGAAAATTTGGGTGACGGCTGCAAATGTATACTCTATGAAACCAGAAATTTAACTTAAAATTAAAAAAAAAAAAAGTTTTCAAGCATCAATTCTACTTCTCAGATAATATCATGGAGTCATATTTTATTACCAAGGTTTAACGTTCTAATACAGAGGTTCTGGAATAGAAAGGTTATCAAAAATTTTCAGTGGAGGCTCCATGCTGGTGGAAGGGTGGGATTCAGAACAGAGGGACAGGCTGTCACTTCCTGCAGACCAGTGGCACTGGGGTGCCCTGGTGACACTGGACACTGCTGCTCACCCCACTGTCCTGTAACAGTCTGGCAGGGATGAACAGAAATCTCTAATGCTGCTGTCTCAGTACTGAGCATGATTGCAGTGCAATTTTGTTTCTATGCTACTCAATAATACACTAATAATAACTGATTTTTTTCCTTCTGCAGTTTGTGTCAATCATTCTTTTTCCCCTTTACCTTGTTTTCCTTCCTTTTCCAGTCCCCTATAGGTGTGAAGACCTTTCTACCAAGTGTGTTTTTCTGCAAAGGTACAGCAAGTCAGTCCAATGCATCCCTCATCACCAAATCACGTGGTAATGCTTTTTTTTGAATCAGTGATCTTTCTGCTTTGAATGAAGTTTTAAAATATTTAGTCTGCAGCTTGCATACAACATTTGTGACACATTCAGTGTTGACAGAGTTAGAAGGAGAGCAATTCACTGACGTAAATAATTTGGAGGTAAACTGACAAATTCTCTCTGTTTTGATTTCTTTTGTTTTCCTACCCATGAATCATTCAGGAACTGACTGAATATTCTCAGAACATACCTTTTTTCTCTCAGGCAGGACTTTTTTGCAAAGGCTCCTCTTTCTACCTCCTGCTCAGTTGACTTGGTACCATTTGGTTTGATTTCAATGAAAAAGTGGAAAAATTTGGCTCACATAAGTCTCCTCCTCCCTCCTCTCCAGCTGTGCTTACAAAGGGGATTCTCTGTGACTGCCAGTGATTTTGAGTTGCTTATCAAGAGACTGGTCTAATCTAATCTAAAAACTCTCCAGTGAGAAAGATTTTATATTGCTGCTGTCTGTTGAGAAGTGATGCTCAAAATCCACATTTGGCTGTTTTGTCTGGCAGCTCATTGGAGAAAATTTATTTGGATTAAATTTTCAGCCATTTTAGGATCCAAAATAAGCCCTTAGACAAAGGAAAATGCACTTTTGTTGGGTGATGAACATTTACAGCCTCTGTCACGAGAAAATGAGTTTTCTTTACTTGTGCCTGTTCCTAATATTAAATATCAGAAATGAAGTGAAGAAGGTTGCAGCCAAAGACTGATCTGAGATGAAATCCAGTGTTAGTCAACCCCCATCATTTCAAAATATTCAGGATAAATCAAGTATATCTATTGCAATGGGTCAGTAACATCTCTCCTATGTTCAGTTTGAGTAAAAGATGTGTATTTAGACTTTTATATTAACTTCAGCAATCCATGTTTTGCATTTATGTCTTCTGTGGGCTTTTCAGATTCTTTGGTTGGGGTTTCATTTGAGGGTTTTATTTTTTTTTCCTCTCCATAAAAACCCATGCTTTCTGGTCAATGAGATTAAGCAAATTGACACAAAATAAAAACTAATTAAATAATGTGATTATAAATTGTTTATCCTCAGAGAATAGATTATAAAAAATGAAAATAAATTATGTCAAGATGCAGTCTGAATAATAATAAATTATTGTAGCTTTTGGCAGCCAGTAGCCAGCTACCAGCTGAGTCAAGATACACCCTCATCTCCTGCCCGTTGCCTTTGAACAGCAGTTATGGATTAAGCCTGACAGTGTGAAAATAAATGGGAGAGTGTAGCTGAAGCCAAGCATTTATCAAGCCTGGATGTACTCTATGCAAGGCAAGTCTGATACAGTTTAATAAGATAACAGAAAACTTAACACTGTCTTCAAGATGTCTAAATATGGATTTATGCCCTGTGCCAATGCTACTATTGTTAACTTGATGAATTTTAAGCTATTTCAGGTTTTGGGTTTAGCATCCATAAGTCATAGGTACAATAGGAATTATTTTCAGGTGCAGAACTGAATAGCTGTGCATACATATGGCAGAGGTATTCAAAACTGTCAGTTATAAAACAGAGGGAAGAACCAGAGAAAGCACTGGAATAACAGGTCTTCTCTCTCATTTTTGTATTGTGCTTTGCATTTTCCAAATGGTTTGTTTCAAGCAGTTTAGAACTAAACCTGTGAATGCAGGGAGAGAGACCCACAATAAATCGAAAGAGCATTTTTTTTGTTGCCCCTCTGAAATTATAAGTGTGTGCCATGGATGCTCTTTTCTCTGTTCTTCATTACATTTAAAATTAGTAAATGGGATGCCATCATCAACTAGGTTATTTTTCTGGCATTCATTTATTGTCCTCACTGATTACCAGACCTTTGATTACAGTTTGATGGGTGTGGGTTTGGTGACTTTTTGTTGAAGAACCCTGTGAATTTTCACAGCAAAGCACATATGGGCCTGTCTGTTACCAGTAGCATTTCTCTCCAATGAGAGAAAAATTAAACAATTGTGAGTGGGTTTTGTGTCTCCATGTAATAAATACTATCAAGATATCAATCATGAGTTAAGGTAACCTTTTGTACTACACAGAAAGAATTCCTGTAGTCTCTCAATGACTATTTATCATTCTCTTCAAGAGTGATTTTGATCCAAATCAATTCTTCTCGTGTACTACTCTATTTTTATGCCCTAGTCCATCTTTAATATACACTATGGCACTGTCTATTCTGGAGTGTGCAAGGACTTTGATAAATGTACTCCAGTCATCACTGTTTTTTCATACCAGGTATCTATTGATTCCTATAATATCAACTTTCACGACTTGCATCATTTGTTAAAATTCCTCTGTTCAGTTTGAAAGGCCGTCTATGTTGATATACAAACAATTCAGCCCTTTCTCTGTAGTTCCTTTCAGCATCTTTATGGCTTCTTTGATGGATCACATCTGCCTCAGTTCAGGAAGGACAATGCCCCAGTTCCTCTGGCTGTTCAATGAGGTACCACAGCACTGGGTCCACAGCTCTCCAGGGTCAGGCCTTTCTACTGAGCACAGAGAAATGGAGTAAGCAGGTGCTATTCCTGAGCCCAATTTCCAGAGCAGGAGGTGATGTTTAATACAGAGAAGTCAGTAAGTACTTTTTGTCAGAGAGGAAAGGAATGTTCTTCCTTGATCTATTTCAGAAATGATCAAAAAAACCAGATTAAAAGGCCTGAAAGCTCTGTTCAACCACCCTTCATCTGTGTGCTGTATAACAATGCTGCCATGCTTCACTCCTGCCCTGCTGTCAGAGGGGCATGGGTTCCTTAACTCAGACCAGCTCCTTTCCCTTGTGAGGATACCCCACCATTCATGTTTTCATAACTCTGTGAGTAAAAGCTAATTGAATTCATCTGGTAGCAGCTTAAGGTTAAATGAAAGAGGTGTCAGATAATAGGTGCATAACTTCCATCAAGTATAAGGGCTGCTTTCTTGACAGGGTGAAGCTCTGCTCCACACACGCCCTGAGAGGGAAGTAAAGAGGCCAAGGAACAGGGAAGATTCTCAGTGGAGCAAAACAGATGCAATTTTCCTGCACAGCTTTTGCTGCAGTTAAACAGCAGCTCAGGTCTTGTGGAGCAATAAGCAGTTTCCTGTTTGGAGACTATCTGAAAAACACAACATAAAGAATAACATTTAGTGGAGGGGATGCACAGCAGTCACACCTTTAATGTGTGTAAGAACAGGGCAACCCAGCAGCTATTCCACATGCAGGAACTGCACCTACCATTCAGTTCCTCTGCTCTTTGGTTGACTCACTGGCTTACTGGCCTGCTGAAATTCTAGCCCCTGATTAAAATTGCTAGAGGATGATTTTTCAGTACTATTTTGTATAATAAATGTGTCTGTTATAAAATAGCTTTTTATACCAGCAGCTATTGTGATGATTGCTTCTCTGGAGTTTGATGTATGAGGCATGAGGCTATATTGCTAAAATCTATTTTAATCAAAGGAAATGGAAATTTTACTCTTGTTAAATGCAAATTTTACTAACTTACAGAAGTATTACTAATTATGAAGGAGTGAGGTCAGGTCTTTCCACTTTAGTAAAACTACCAATACAACTTAGTGATATGTTGTCTTGTCTTTATTACATTTATGTAAATTCCAGATGTATTTATCATTTCATCAAAACATCTGATTTTAAAAACAAGTTAAAAAAAAGGAATGTCATAGATACTAATTCAGTTGCCAGTGAGATCTACAACTTTTTCATAGGTTCAAGACTCCTTCTGTTTGCATTCATTATTCAGTGTGTTAGAAAAGCTCTGCTCCAAAACAGGTGCTGATCTTGTTTTCACTCTTGATGAAGAAATTTTTCCAAAAAGAAGTCTGTAAAAGTTGTAAGGAGACCAAAGGTGACCAAAGGTTGAGGACGGTAAATGGTAAAAAATGGCATTTCTTCAGAAGAAAAGAGAAGCACAGGCAAACCAAGACACTTGACTCAATCAGTACAGGATGATAACTTGGCACTGAAGAATAAGCTTTAATCAAGTCTTTTTTTTTTTTTTTTTTTTTTTTTTTTTTTTTTTTTTTCTGAAAGAAGCTGGCATGGTTAAAAGAAAGAAAATCAAAATATGTTCTCTTAACAGGTTTTTCTTTCCTCTTTGTAACCTCGTTAAAGGAGCCAAATCCTTCTTATTCAGTTTGGGTTCACCTTTCTGTACTTCATTTCAGTTTAAATAAGCCCGAAGTTTGTTTCATTGTGGGCTAAACACTAAGCTGATCATGCAGACAGTCCACAGTTTCAAAGAATAATGAGCTATTTACATGTTGTTCTGTCTCAAACTGTTATTTTAAACCCACATTTCTCCATTGTGTGAAGTACTATCTCTCCTGCCTGAAATTCTTTTTTCTTTCTGCACAAGAGTAGAAAAGGCAAAAGTGACTGGGGTCTAATATCTCACCTGATCTCGTAATGAAAAATGGATATGGTCAAAGTTACACCTCTCCTGTTCAAAATCTGACAAAAGCTTTTGACAGGGAACAGGTAAGTTAAGGAGCAGGCAGACCCAGGGGAGAGGTACAAGTTGGTGGGGCTCTGGTGACAGGTGCACTTGTAAGAAATGTTGTGGAGCATGTTCTCTTGTTAACCGTAAGAAATAGAGCTTGCACTGTATTTTCAGGTCACAGCTCAGAAACCTGTAACCACCTTAGAGAACCAAGAAAGGTCTTGGAAGGAAAAGAGAATTTGATGAAGGATGTTTTAATGGCAGTCCAGTCCTGTGTGTTACATCCAAGGCAGCGAAGGAATGAATGCAGTGTGATGAGTAATTCAGAGTTACACTCAACATTACAGGAGGGGAATAACAAATTGGAACTGCAGAGTATGGAGCAAGGAACAGCAGCCAACACTGAGCATTGTGAGGGGATCTAATATTGTATGAGATAATTACCTGGACAGTTTTCAGGTGAATATAATGCACTGTTCAACTTCTTGGGAAGTTGGATAATTTAAAGAACACCTGTCAGAAAAGCACTGGTAACAACAGACGGGCAGCTAGACTTTTTTTTTATTTGAACAATATTAAGCTGAACTAGCACCTCATCATTTAACTGAGCAGAGGCCTGTTGTAAGTCACAGATTAGAGCTCAGAGAAGAAAAGAAATACAAATAGTAGGACTTACAGAAAGAAAGTTGTCATTTTGTCTATTAAGGGAGAGTCAAACTCAGTGCAATGGAAGGGGGAAATCAATATGCTATAACTCATAAATGTAAAGGCAGTATAGAAGAAATATGAGATGATTTGAAGGTGAACTCACTACAGTGATCACTTTATTTTTAACACAGTAAGTAGTCTGGTGGTTTCAGTAGCAAAGATGAGAAGTTTATAAAATGTAATAAAACTCTCAAGAGCTTTTTTTGGGTCACAACACAAATTTTTTTTTGAAAGAAAAGCTGTCAGCTGTGTATCAAATCCTTCACTGTTCTGGATTTCTGTACTTTTCCCTTGTGTCTTTTAGGAAGAACTGGACTATTAATACATCCTTTCTGATTTAATTAATCATTAAGAGAGTGATTGTGATTTCTATTGTCCCCTTCACAGGAATCCATGCAAATGTAGGTACGTAACTGCCCTTCTCATGATTAACAATTTCAAAGGCACATTTTGTCTGATTATTTAATTTTTTTGACTCTGAAATGCAACCACTTTATGCACTTTGAGGGAGTTTTACCTCAGATTGACTTTAATCTGGTCCCTGGGACTAAAATCCCATTGGCAGCTGGTGCTCCATCGTATGAAGCAAAGCACAGTAAGTGGGGGAAGTAAGTTCATATATGTTTCTTGAGATTGAGCTACTTAAAATAATAAAGATCCTGAGATAAGGTAATCCAAGTAATGAAATCATGAGATCTCTAAGATACTCAGATTCATTGAATTTCACGCTTATTCTTTATTTCAAAAGATTGCCTGCGATTTATTCCTTTATGAAGGTGTCAGGTCTGAATAATCTGGCTTTAAAGGTAACATTCCATATTATAATATCAAAATTATATTTGTTTTAAATTATTACAAAACATACCTAAACTGTAGCTCCTTGGTCTTGTCTTTATTAATGTCTTTAGTAATGAGAAGAATATTATTATTTGTTTGTATTGTAGTTTACAAGGGCCCAACTTACAGATCAGGGAATCTGTTGTGCTGGTCACTACAATAACCAGAAATAAAAAGATGTCACAAGCTGTACACCAAATACAAGACATTTATTGATATGTGTAGAATTTGAAGATCATAAATTCCTTAATTCTCATAATAAATGTGTTCTGTACACCCACACTCTTACTTTTCCTAAGTTTACTGTGGGAACAGTAACAATATCTTTTTAAGTGAGATTAACAAGAAAATAACAAAATAGACTTATTTGAGAGGTTTGGGGTTTAAATTAGAGGACAGAAAATCTCCATAAGTGTGTTTGTTTAGCCAACTGGATGCCATAAAGAGGGAGTGAGCAGCATATAAGGAGAAGGTACTTATTTCTCCCTGAAAAAGACTGCAGGGAAAACACTGAAATGGTCTTGTCTGTATTTTTGTAGAAAGGACCTTTAGACTGTGAAGAGCAGCACAAGACAAAGAACAAATGTGTTTGTCCCCAACTGCAGTAAACAGCTGAAGAAGCTGAGATCAGAAGCTAATCAGTGGTGGCACTTGACGTATCAGTAGCTCATGTGAAATGACGAGTTGGAGAAAAGGCCATGAAGGCACGTGACAGGTTATCTGTGAAGTGACAGAAATGAAAAAAAAAAAAAAAAAAGAAGAAAAAAAGAAAAAAAAGGAAAGGATGCAAAGAGAGGAATAGAAACATTTCAGATGGCTGTCCCTAAGTCTAATCTGGATTTGTAAAATCTGCAGAAAGATGTTGCACATGTAAGATGAAAGCTGGGGAAAACTGTGCAAATGAAGGGTCGCCCACATTATTATGGAGCTGAGAGGTCCAAACCCACTGCTTTCCAGGTAGGAGACCTCAGCAAGGACAGCCCTCTTGGGTCCACTTAGCTCATGGTCCTGTCTCTGAGAATGACAAGTTGCAGATTCCTCTGGAAAAGAAGCAACACATAAATAGGAAAGAATGGCAATAGTGATCACTGAAATACCTTGTGGAGATGCTGAGACATTTTGGGACAGGGAGGGTTGGCTAAGAACTCACAGCTAAGCCAAACTGCTTTTGCCACCTTTGGTTTCTCATAAGAAAGGTTGCAGCTTGAATAGAAAGTCAATACTCTTTCCCCCTTCACTAGATCATCTCAGAGGAAACTGCTGCTCTCTAATTCCCTGAAGAATTGCCCAGGAAAATCAAAAAATGCTAAACTTAGCAAAGATAATGTTTCTGAAAGATAATGGAGGGAGAAAAAGAAAACAATCTGAGGAGCAAGCCAGAGTTTTTCACATGCACTGTAAAGAAAAAGGACAGAGATACACATTTCCTATCATTGTAGGTCACTCTTCAGTGCTTCATCTTGATATGAATAGATCCCTCAACAGTTAACTCAGCCAAGGGAGATTTCAGATCAATCCTCCTTACTCCAGCCATGCCTTCTTCTAAATCAATAATGGCTGATGAATACCTCTGCCAAGCTCATAACACAGACACAATGGAAATCCTGCTCTTTTAGAAAGTGCCTTTGCAAGCCCTTTGGATAAGGGGTGCTTTACTGCTTCTCCTCTAAATCTCAGCAGTGAAGCTGAATTCCTGATGATGCTGCCATTCTGCAGAGGCAGCACTGCACTGTAACCTGCACCTCTCTGCTCTTGGAGGATTTAGCAAGAGCTGTTTGAATTCATTTGGAAATGAATTCAAACACACGACCCATATAGCTTTCATCTTTAATAAAGTCTGGGTTTTTTTTTTTATTTAGACTCTGCTTTCACAGCAGAAGCAACCTTGTTTTTCAAAATATCACTCTGATAATTGGAGATTTTTTTTTAAAAGTGTAAAGTTCTGTAAGCAGTGTGAGCTATCTGAATTAAGAGTTAGGGTTTCCTTGCCTGCAAAAACTGGGAAAACTTAAAAAGTTGGAAAGATCAGGTGGATCTTGCAGTTTACATTCGTACATCAAAACCCTTAATTGCACTGAAGCACTGAAAAAAGAATCACTTTTGTTAACTTGAAAGCTAGGATGCACTTTATTGAGAATTCGATCCTTTTTGATGTAGAAATTCCCAGTAAAAACTATGCCTGATTATAATCTACAGTAGCAATGTCCATAATTAAAATATTTTCTCTTTCAAAAATCCCCAGTAATAATAATAATATCTCTTTTCAACAGTACATGAATCTAAAATAATAAAATAAAACCGAAGTTACAAACATATATCACTCCAGCATATGCAAACAGACTTGGCAGTTCTAAATACAGATTTATGTCTGGAAGGATGCATTCTCCTTGAAGCTGTTTGTGCAACCTACTTATCAGAAGAAAGAGATTTCCTGGAGATTTCCTTTAATTAGTTGGAACAAGATATCAGTAAAATAAGCAACTAAAACTATAAGCATATAAGCTGGCATAGTTTATTAAAAAGCAATAATTAAAAATATATCCTAAAATTCAAGAAGGGAGTGGCCAAGTTCAGTAATAGCTATTTCTGTGTGCACAACACCGCTTATAAGAGTCTAGGAAGGGAAAAGTTAGCAGTCTGCTAGCAAAGATAATGAGAGGACAGAAAAAACATGATCCATGCTAATTTGGTTTACGTCCCTCCCTTTTCCAGTTTCTGAAAGTCTCTGCTTATTTATGTGACATTTAGGGGTCTTCATCTCTGCCAGTGATGGATTTGCACTAAGTCATCAAGGCAATGTGATGTCATTTCCAAAAATTCTGAATCAGATGAACTTTAAAGTTTGCAATGCAGCTATTTTACCGTGCCTCTTTGTTGGAGTAGCCACGGCCCAGGGTGATTTGAATAGGCGAGGTGAGCTTCCAGGGGATTACAGGAGGCAGGAGATGTGTTCCTTCTATTACCCATAATAGGAATTGTATGACTCATTCCTCTCACACCAGGCTAAAATGTACCCCTGCGGTTCTCTACTATGTATATTGACTTGAATGAAGCTTTGTGTAATAAGATTTAAATTGTAATGAGTCATTATGTCAACCTTTTTTTGCTGGTATTTTACATAGTAAGTCTGCACAGAGTGCAGTGTGCTACTGCAGAAAATCCTAGCAAGGGTGGTTAGTTGAGAGTGGATAGCTTTAAAAAAAAACTACTAGGAAAACTTCTCACAAAATCTTAGCATGACCATAGTTTCAAAAGGACGATTTGTGTGTATAAGTGTCCTTATTACAGCCATTATCATCAGTCCAAGATTCACTCCTTAATCCATTACATTTAGTTATATGTCCTCATTTGCTTTTAGTGGGACGAGACAGTCTTGTTTATATGGGCTTGAGGTGAAGGATATCAAAGTATTATTTTTCAAGTATTATTTTTCAAGATTGTTTAAGCATTCAGCCATGCCCACTCACACAAAAAGCTGTTTTCTAATAATCCTTTTATCAGCCTGAAGCTGAAACAACTTTCTTTCTTGCAAGGATCTGTTATTGAGAGTTTCTTATTAGTAACTAGATGCTGACATGATTTCACTGAAAAATAAGCACAGTCCCGAAGAGCTTTTGATTTATTTTTTTTAATTGCATAACGTGTAAAGTATAAACACAAACTGTACCTCTTTAATTGCTTAAATTAAAAGGATTTCTAGCTCAGCAGTTTCTCTCATTTTCAGTACACATTGGTGGCATGTTACCAAGGTACCTCTGAAAGCACTAAAACTGACTGGGACTGAAAGGGGTGTGGAAATATTATTTTTGTGTTCACTGTAAAAGGTGTTCAAAACCACCAACAAACCCATTGTTTTACTGTAGCAAAGCAATGACTATTCTGTGCAAAATCAGCTGTAGATAAATATCTTTTTTTCTTACAATGAAGTAAAGAAATAACTTTGTCTTGAGATATCATTTTGTGTCCAGTGACTTTAGGTAAATTTTGTTAATCTCCACCGAAAAGTAAACAGATTCTATGCTTAGAATGTGGCTCTTCCTTGTCAACTTTTTAAAGACAGAGGTTAACAAAATTCTTCATGAAACAAATACACAATCTCCAAACAGTTTTCTCCACATGATTCTGCATCAATCTACAAAGGACTATTCTCTGGCCAGTCTCTAAATTCTGGTACTCCCTGTTTAAATATCCCCAAGAAGTATCAACACACTTCTCTTCTGCTCTCTTCTCACCTGAAAATTTAATATCAAGAGTTAAATGACTTAATACTATAAGAGAATAAGTTGGGAAAGTGTGAGAAGGACCAATGGATTGAGAATGAAATGGGAAAGACAACTGAAGTTCAAAGCTTGTAGCACATCACAGTAACTCCTGTGACTCTTGTATTTGAACTCGTGCTTCTCTTAACAATCTAAGTGTTTACAAGGCAGGCACCAGCGGCTGTAGTTGAAAGCCACAGAACTGACAAATCTCAGTCTCTAATAACTGGGGTCCTTTTCTCCCCTAATACATATTGCCGTGAAATGGTGTCAATAACCAAAAGACCACAGCGCTGGCTTCTTATTTTCCCAACTCATCCTTGGATGTACCTTTTCTCATCCTCCCAGAAAACTGTTTTATATTTCAGGATTGGTTTGCTTGTCTTTTTTTTGCTGGCAGCGATTCCTGCTCTCGTTAGTACATGAAAGTCTAATTGTGCTGGGCAGCTCTGTCTTGGCAAGCAACTCTGAAATTATACGTGAAATGGGACAGGAATCTTGGAAAAGCCTGACACTGGATATCATTAATTCTACTTTGGTAGGGAAGTTTTTCTCAGGTGAATTATGTGCTCTGAAAAGACTCCGTATTTTTTTAAGCCTTTTGCTTTGTGATATCAATTAAGGTACATAAAAAATATTCTTAGACCTAACTAGAAATCATGAGAAAATCCATGTGAAATTTAGAGACAAATTAAGATAGTAGAGAGCCAAACAACTGAGGTATACTCAGTCCAGTGACTCAATATCCAGCTTGTTACCTCTTTTTATTTTTATATCAGTATCTTAATTCAGGACCAGGCAAGGAATATATCCATATGTTTTACTTCTTTTGTAGAATTAGCTTAAAGGAAAAGAAAGAAATCACCAAAATATAATATTGCAGACTCGCCATTTTTTTTCCTGAGAAGATCATAAATTATTTAAAGTTTCTTCATCTTCAGAATGCCCAGATGAATGGTCTGAGATATTCAAAGGCTAGAAGCTAAAAGATTATACAGGTGATTCAATAATTCTTGCCAACAACTAAAATAAAAATCATGACTTTTTTTATATTTTCAGCATGAGGAATTAATTTTTCTCTCTTAATTTTCCTCTGTATGAACGAATCATTTAAGATACATCAGTATTAAATGAAAGGGGATAGCCATAGCTGAAATGCAAATCTATGTCATCAGTCCATTTTTAGTTTCCTTGGAAATCCTTTTTTGCTTTTTCCACTTTGTTCTTTATACTTGAAAAAGCAATATTCCTCATGTGAACACTGGTAATTAAGTCTGGCATTCATATTTTTTTTCTATTACTACTTTTCTTGGTGCTTATTTAAGAACTTTGTTTGCAAAGTTGAATACCCAAGGTTCCTTTTCAACACTTGTATTGATTTTTTTTGTCATTTGACAAACAGACAGCAACCTGAACTCACCATGGACAAAAATAACAAGCAGGCAGTGTTCTCCTAATAACTACTATGAGCAAGCCAAGATCCAGCTGTACCCAAATAGAAAAGGAAAGGCCTTTATTTCTTAAGTATCAATGACATCATCAATAGGTGAGTGTGTGGTGATTCTCCCTTTGAACCTAAAAATTAAGAAATAAATTCAAATGGAAGTTCTAAGGATGAACCACTCAGTGCAAGATCTGCTACATGTTTGCAGAGAAGGACCCTCTCACTGAGGAACTTCATTTCCTGGCCACACCCATCCATTACCCTCTACCAACAAAGTTTTATGAGCCTTCAGTTCATGTTAAGTTTAAAAGGATTGTATTCTTTTGTGCTTTTGCAGTGCAAAGTATTATGATTTAGGTTTTGGTTGGTTTGGGTTTTTTCTCTTTTAAATCTTAACCTGAATCAGAAAGAAGGCTGGATCATCACTAAATATAATGCATTATGATTAACTTCACGAAGCAATTTCTCTTGTACAGTTTTGCTAGTCCAGGCATTCTAGCTCTTAGTTTAATTGAATTTGTTGATAAATCTGTCATGACATGCTTTCTATATATGATCTTTCTATAAAAAAATTATTTCTACAGCACAAAATTCACTCCATGAATGGAATTAGAACAAGGTTTGTACATTGTTTAAGCATGTATTCAATGGGTTTCTAACAAGCAGTAGGAATGACTTAGATTGGCCCTCTGTTCATTTATGACTTTCCCATTAACATTTGCAAAATAGGCAATGAGAAAAAACACATGTTGAAATCACACATTTCAGCAAATGTTTTCATTAAATATTACCAACTACTTTCGTTGCTGAAATGGAATATTCTTATTTAATCAATGACTGCAGTAAATAAATGCACTTTTGCCTGCAGTGTCTTTTGCATTAGAATTTCAGTTTCTACACTTGTCCCCAAGGCCAAGAAAGAGCATGACTTTATGTTGCCGATGTGCTGTGTTTCATCAGGTTGTGTCTCAGTATATACATGTCACTTTAGATCTAAGCAGATGTGACAGAAGGTAACAGACTATTCTGTGGCGCTGCAATGTCAGCCCGTGCACCAGGGCGACTAGAAAATGCAGTGCTGTGAGCACAGTGACTGGGAAGCAGAAAACAAACACAGGAACATCTAATTTTCTGACAGAAAGTCAAATAAATGGAGCACACATGCTCCTTCACTGAAGAAAACCCCCCATGTTACTACCATGGGAATAATAACGGTTTGCTCTTCTTTTTGTTTTGGCAGCAAGCAATTATCACCTTCAACAGGACTGAGGCAGGCAATGAGTACACCATGGAAAGGAAACAGTGAGTAGGTCCTCCTGGGTTTAACACATTTTATTACTGCATGTAGTTTTATGGATTTCAAAAGTAGGATCAATTTTCCCTCCCTGAATTCTGATTACGATAATTTTTTATTTATTTACTTTCAAATGAGAATGCTATTGGCTTCCTTTGTCATATTTCTTGATAATATGACCACTTTGGCTACTACAGTGCTATGTTTCATGTCTCTTTGACCACAATACAAGATGTTTCATTTACTTAAAGCTTTCTTGATGTTATCGGACTGAGAAAATTTACTTCACTAACCCTAAAAGCAATTCCAGGAATAAGACTTGATCCTGCACTCAATTATCTGTCCCCATTCTACCAAACATCTGTAGAGAGGTTAAAAAAATGTAAGGACACCCAGGCCTTAGGTCATCCAGGAAAGATTGTCTGGGAATTGACTTTTTTCCCCCTAATATAATAAAAATTCCTGTCAGCAAGTCTCTTGGCTGTGTGAAAGCCAGGCTCACCTTTCTGATTGCCAAACTGTTTTAGAAACTCAATTATCAGTCATTTTAATTTCACTATATTTCAAAAAAATGCAGAGGAGGACTCACATCTTAGAAGAGGATGCAATACCGGTGTGGTCATGCAGAACATCTTTGTCCTTAAAAGTTATTAGAGCCAGTCAGTGGGAGAAGGGAAATAAAATTAGGTCATCTTAATTCAAAGTCTTATTTTATTTTCATTGTCATTTGGCTTTTGGTAATCATCATCCTTTTCCAGCCATCATACTTGAATCATTTCTCTCACTTGATAGTTACGTTTTTTGTAAACATGGAAAAGTTTACCTTTGGAAGTTTTTGACTAGTCAGCTTCTCAATTTTCTCAAATAGACTTTTTAATTTTCCTTTTGACATTGAGAAATTTGGAGAAATACAAAAAAATATAGAAAGAGAAAATACACAGTTACCATATCTTTTATGTTACCAAATGAAGGACTAAGTGTTAAAATTATTATGAAAGAAGAGACACCAAGTCAGAATTCGGTGACTGTAGCCACTTCAGCATGGCCAATATCCTTGAAAATTTCTGAGAAACTTTTAGCACAGCCTAAAACTAAAAGAGAACATTCTCTTTTGGCAGGAGCAGTTCAGCTAGGAATGCCCACTTGCATCTGTGAGCACACTAATACATGTGACAGCACAAGAGGCAGGAGAGAGAGCGTAAGTGCCTCGGTAAGTGGAAATACAGTGAATAACCTTAAGGATCAAAGTATATCAGATCCTTATGGCAAATGACACCAGTCTGCCGTCAGTTACGGGAAAAATACCTCTGTTCCTTTCATGAAGTAGCTCTGCCACTGAGGTTTCAAGGACAAAATGAAGAGGGTTTGTTGCCTGAGGGAAAAGGGGGACATTCAATTCAGTTTTTTATATTCTGGCATGAAGAAAATCCAGGCTGCAGGGATTTTTGACCTGCAAACATCTGGCTGTTGTTTTAGTGTATGATAAATTCCAACACTCCAATCTCTCTTTGGGGTACATATTAATAGGTGATAGACCTGAAATAAAAGCTCATGTTAAACGAAAAGGTTCACAAGTTTGTTGGTTTAGTGGAGCTTTGGGAGGAGAGATGGGGGAAAGAAAAGCAGATAGGATAATCTAAACAGTAAGAACAGATTGATAGCTAGTAGAAGGAAAAGCAATGTGAGAGAATTCAAAGAGGGGAAAAAAGGCTGAAATTAAACAAGTCTTGATGTTTTCTTCATCAATAGAGGGATCTCTGTGTTTATTCATAAAAATTACCAAGGAAGCAGTGAATTTAATAAGATTATTTCTTCTCAGTAGAAATAATTTGTGACATGTTTTGCTCCATCCTCTTCAATCATAAACCCCTTTCTGGACATGAAGAGTAAAACTTGTAACACCCATATTCCAGACTGATGTACATGCCAGACACCAAGAGAAATCCTGAGTCTAGAGTTCTAGATTTGCAGGCAGTCCCAGTTTAGGCAGGCTGATGCAGAGCCAGGCTCAGCACACGGCAGGACAGAGCAATAATTCTCAGTGACTATGAAAAAGCTGAACATTTGTGTCACAGACTCAATTTCTTGGTGGTGTGAGTTTTGTGCAGCAGAGTACACTGCTGTCAGAAGAAAAGAAGCCCTACATTTCTCAGCACTGCTGGCAAGTTGGATGGGAGAGGCCTAAAAATGTGTGTCTTGCTGAATGTTCAGTCCATGCCTAAGGTGCTGCTGAAGAGGAGTAGGAGGATGGTTGGGGAAATTCTGGTTGACCTCTAGTTTGATAGCAGGAGGATCCTGAGGAGAGTTACTTTCTCTACTTGGCTTCCAATAAAGAAAGCTTGGTTCAGGATGCATTCCTGGTGAGGTCAGCAGGGACTAGGGAGAAAGGCCTGCATCAAAAGACAAGCCTTTGCCACTTTCAGAGAAAAGATTCCTGAACTGCAACACCACTGGACCTCTTAAATTTAATACAGCTGTTGCAATGCAGTTATTGTAGGTACAAGGAGCTATTGACCTTTATCCAAAAGGGCAGAAGAAATGTAATGCAAAGAGTATGTGAATAGTAGATTATAAGTGTATAGCATATTCCATTGAAACACTTCTTAGCAAATAACATTTTGAATACCATTTAAAAAAATAGAATTATTTTCGTAATTTTTAATTTTTTTAAAAACAGTCCAGCAGACAGTGGAACATCAGGGAAATCTGGAGTCTAAGCCAAAATATTGCCCATTTAGTATATGGAGATTCACCTTGTTGGTGTTTGCTTTGTGATCTCCCTCCTCCTCTTATTTCATTCAGGCAAGTGTCTTAATCACTTCTTGGGTACACACGTTATGTTTGTTCCTGTGATGATGAGTGACCACAGAAACTTGATATGGAGCCCCAGAATCTCTCAGAGAACTGCCCTACCTGTTCCATTTAGTCATCAAAACTAAAAAAAAAAGAAAACAAAAAACAGAATCAGGCTTTTAGCTGTGTTAGTTTTCAGTTACAGTGCACTGCAACTCACGTCTCCTCTAGGAGAAGTCTTACATGGCTCTGAGATTTTTTTATTTTTTTAACATATACTTCCATCCATGGGAGGTTGTTTTTTCAGCAGCTCTGCAATGGCTTGGTTTCATTTTTGAAGAAGAAATTTTCCAGGCCTCAAGACAAAAAAGTTCAAAGCTGAGTTTTTGATCATTTAAACATCAATACCACTGACTACACAGAAACTGTTCAGAATCCTTTCACAGGGTTGGCAGGAAACAAAGAAAAATTTTTTTCACAGCATTGCCATCCATTAAACCTTTTGCCTACCAAAGACAAGCTCATGCTTTTGGGCTTGTCCTTTCCCAAACAGATTTGGTCACTGTCAGCCTCAAAAAAGAAACCAAGAATGTCTTCCATGCATTGAACTCAGTTATGTGCCTGCCGTGTTATAGTTGATATTCTTAATGTAAAAATAGAGGTTATGAAGCTTCGTGGGGGAGAAATACCTAATTTTTTCTCCCTAGTTGTGAGGTACACTGGTCTTACTTGCTTGTTCCAGCCCTTAAACTTGGTAAATTATTTGTTTGCCCAAGACTAAGTTATTAACTGACTCTGTTCAATGCCTCGGTGAGTAACAATCAGGTCTGTGTATGCATAAGGCCAATCCCAATCAGCACTTTTCCAGGAACTTCTTTAAGTGCACCATTTCTGTATTTAATGAAAATAAATCCAAGAGCTTCAGCAAGAATGATGGGTAATAGTTCTAAAGAGATCATTTTCCTTGTTCCTTGTTCCTTCATTTCACTTGGCAAAGATGGAGAAACCAGAACAGGAACATTCCATCCTGCATTTCTTTCTCTCGTGTAAGTGCTTCAAATTCATTTCTAAAATGAGGAGCTACAAAATGGAACAAGCTCTGTGAATTTCTTATCTAATGTTTCATGCTTGTCCACAGAATGTCACTGTACATCCATCCTTGTTTCCTCCATTAATTTAATAATGTCCATGACACCTCCAGGGCGCCAGGTAGCAGAAGCCTAATGAAAGCTCCTCTGAACAATTTCACTCACTTATTTTCTCCTGACACGTCCAAACAGCCTTAGAGCCCAACTGGAGCTCATGCTGCTCTTTAAAGTTAATAAGCAACTAGTCATTGGTATTTTTTATGTGTGTAAATATATATATATATATACATGTAGATATATATATATGTACATATATATTCAGTATTTCATATACATGTATGTGTATATATTTTATACAAATACTACCATTTCTTAAAAAAAAAATTAACACATTGATTGCCTAAGTGTCACTGTAGTACCAGGAGCATTAGATTTAATTAGGTGGCAAAAATAGAAACTGGAATCTGGTTAATAGCTTCCAAAGCTGATCTTAATTGGCTTATTATTTGGAGATCAAGAAAAAAAATAAATTTCAGACATCAGTTCAAGCAAACGCTGAATACATTGTTCAGAATAACTTTGAGAATCAAATAATTAGACAAATAATATGTAAAGTCAATAAAGTGTGACCATCAACAAATGACAAATGTATGAACAGTGGAACAGTATTATTCTTCTACATAGCTGCAGAGAGTTCCTGTGTATCCATCAGATTAATTGTTTATTCCAGTTATTACATTCATTCAAATGTATGAGAAAACAAACCATTGATTTACTGCTGTCAAGGAGTACTTAGTGCAGCAGTTTAAACAAAGCATGGTTGTCTCCATATATAATTCATGTTTATTATAAATGTAAAGGAGATGGAAAATGCTACAAGAATATGTGTAGGCTCAGCTATCTAAATTTCTGTTGTTTTCTGAATGTAATAAATGCAATGTTTACCTGTAGAAATAATCAAACAGAAATTTCCTGCCCTGAATAGGTAATTTCTAGAAGGAAAGACAGTGTTTTTAAAAGCATTCCCCAAACACTGATTGCTTCATTCTAAACTAAAGAACATCATTTGGTATTTAAAATCTGTCTGGATTTGCTGCTTTGTTCTCAATATGCTTGACACATATCCATCACAAATCTTCAAATGGATCTAAAACTTGTACTGGATTATTTTTTGCTGGGATAGCACTGGTTTAGAGAATACACAATGATTCAGTCTTCCTTCCTCTCTCAGAACACCACTCTTCCCTTATTGAGCTGGTTGGAATTCAAAGAGTGTTCAGATATAAAATGGGTATTCAGACCCTGCCACTCTCACAGACCTGGCTGCAAGGCTGAGCTATATTTTGGTTTTAGGCTGGTAATATATCAGTGGTTATGTCAAGTCTTCTCTAGCATTTTGAACTTGTGGTTCGTTCCATTTCATTAGCTGGTGTTTTTTCCTTTCCCAGCTGTGAGCACCATGTTATAACAATGAACTCACTCTCTTTCCAGCAGTCTGTAATGTCTTCACTGGACAGCCCACACTTCTTCCTTATCCTAACAAAAAGCAGAAAATCACCTGGGCTTTGTTCTCCAATTACATATTCACCACATAACTCTGACATAGGAAAAGTGAAGTTCTAGGTAGATATTTCTAATTACAATACTATTCAAGTTACTAACTTGAAATCAGAATCCTACTGTGCAGTATTCTATTATGAAATTTATCCAAAGAAAGCGACACAGGGCAATGCAGAGCACCTTTTTTTCAGTGACTTCAGCAAAATAATAGGCTCAGAACACCAAGTTACTCAGACATAGCATATCAGAGTGAAAGAGAGTGTGGGTAAGTCCCTTGAAGGCATAATAATGATAGTGCTTGTTAAGGTCACCATTTTCATTTCAAACTGCAGCAACAGCTATTTAACAAATAAATTTACAACCAAGAAGAATTTGGAAATAGCACAGTGCTGCAGTGTATTTACAGATGTTGTCACATCATGTGTGCATAAAGAAAACAAACTCCCAAAGTAAATAATTTCCACTGCCTAAAACACTAAACCCCATTTAGACCACAGAGAATAACCAGCCAGAAACCTGAAACATTTTGGATAACAAAAGCGATCATCATCCACCCACCAGTGTAGCTAGACTGTGTGCTTTTACAGAAAGAGTTGCTGTGTTAATTCTTGTCTGTTTCTTTGCCTGCAAGGTCTCAAAAAAAATAATAAATTTGATCTCGAAATAAATAAGGTTTGAACTTCTCTTATGCTTTATTCTAATTTTTAGCAGATTATACTTGGTAAGACTCTTAGCATTTTAAATCTTAAAATACAGTCTTTAAGTAAGC